AAAAAAAAAAAAAAAACATTTATTCACAAACTAATTTGTACATAATAATATCCCGAAATTGTTCGTTATACGTTTTTGGTATATTGTAGCGTGTATATGCAGTATATGTCCAGTATATGTACATCGCCGCATCGGTTAAGAAAAATGGATCATTTTTCAAAGTGTTTAGCTTTTAAACAGATATCCACGAACATACTCTCTGCATATTAAATTTTCTGGGCTTTTCATGCTTTTCCCAATATTTGTTCTACATTTGGGGAAGTGACTTGTTTGGTCCCATTACTGCCAATTTAGATGTTGGAAGTATGATTCTGGCTTGTTCAATTTACCTCTAATCAGAGTTCCTCACCACTGCACATAAGAAATAGAAGTATTTGAATGGGATGAGAATTCAATCTTACTTTACAATACAATAAAACTGTATGTAAAGTTGATGAATTGTATAAACATTGTACCAAAACTACAACTTGCATTTATCAAATTCCTGTACATGAAAACACACTTACACAAATGTAAACTTTCAAGAGAGAGTGCCAAAATACAGAATTCCAAGCGATAGACCAATCGATCATCTCTCCCGTCACAGATTCAACAAGTCCCCTTGCAGGAATAATTTTGAAGGAATCTGGTGGCGCTTGCGGGCCTTCTCAGTAATCGAGGTGAGCACGCCCCAGATGACGGGATCGGAATACTGAAACGGCTTGACGACGATTTCAATTAAGTATTTGATTAGCATTTAATATGCAGAGAAAACAGGAATAACGTTAATCTCAATATCAGGTAAAATTGAAAATATTTTGGTATGATTAGCCAATTTTATAAATAAGAATGTAAGAGTCATATAAGTGTAATAAAAATCCTAGTTAATGGTAAGGAATGCAAATTCCTCTAATTAATGTAATTAACTTATTAAGTATTCATATTTCTTCTCCCATATCAATTGGGAACAAGCAACGTTGGCCATATCTCCCGTCTCCCTATACTACTATTCCTTCTTCATAAATTTTGTTCTATCTGCTTAAACTTTTTTAAAAAATAAAAAGATAAAAATTGTTAAGGTTATCTTTTTATAAATACAAAAAACAATATTTTGTTGTTTATTTTTTCTCCAAGACAAAAGAAAAAATTGATATAATGATATAAACTTCTTAGTCATGTTTATGTTATTCAGATTCCAGCTTTTGGTTGACTTTTGCATTTTCAATAAATATCAATCAATAATGATGCCGAACCAATTTTTTCAGTACCGAAAAATCGGTAACCATTTGAAAATCTATTCACTATTGGTATGAGTGTATTCAATATCGAACTTGTCGATTCAATTCAGTTTGATTCAGTAAGAAGGGCTTCGATTCGGTTACCAAACTGTTGCCGGCCATAATCATAATTGTGATATGCTAAACTAACAACGGTTTTATCAAAATATGTTGTAAATCGTGTCTCGATTGTAATGATATTTTTAACAATGAAACATAGTCACACGAGACTATATATATAATTAATTGAATAAAATATCGAATTTAATAATATAATTGAAAGAGAAATTGCATCTTGATCAAGAGGTTTGAGATTTCCCTTGATCTTCCTTGTAATATAATGCCTCCAAGGTGAGTAGTTGCTTTTGTCCAAGTTCAATTGTTTGTTGCAATGTTCTGGGATCAATACAAGAATAATCATTTTTAGTGACGATAATTTTTGTCGTTATGTCGTCACAAAAAATACCGTCACAATAAGAGGTAATATTGTGACGACATTCGAACATATAGCGACAATATTAGAACATTATTAGTGACGGTATTTTTTCTGACGACATAGCGACAAAAATTATCGTCACTAAAAATAATTATTCTTGTAGTGGATAGAAAACTGCTTTATTTTTACAAGATTATTTTAAATACTGCTTTCTCGCATAGTTGACACCATAAAATTATTTTATTATTGATATCTCATGCATC